GAGAGAGAGAGAGAGAGAGAGAGAGAGAGAGAGAGAGAGAGAGAGATCTCCAAGAGAAAAGAAAAGAGGAAGGAGACTTGTTTATAAATCAAACAGCCACAGGGTGGCAGCAAAGAGTTATTTTGTCTTTATGTGACGTAGCAAAGAGGACTAAAAAGAAAATGTCCGCCCATCGAGACAACAAAGGTAGTTTTTCTATCACTTAATCTACAATAGTTTTTTATTTTGATTCTTCGCCCTTGGGGAGATTAAAAAAATACCTTTCTTTCCAGCCTCATACTTTCCAGATCTCAGTTCCTCTCCCCTGGATTAGTTGCTGCTTAAACTCCGTGGTGGGAGGATTCCTCCCTCCATCAAGGGGGCTTTTCTTTCTTCTTTATCCCGATTAGTATTTGCTTCAAGTTCTTTCACAGGTAATATTGGAAAAGGCAGAAATGCTCACCCAGCAGTCCGATGTACTTCAAGCTTTTGTTCTATGCTACATCTGGTCGTTGATGGCTTGCAAGAAGCAGATCTCTCCCATGTTGTTTGAGAAAATCCTGAGTTTCTCCAAGTAAATGTGGAGCCGTCGCCCCACATTGTCCAGAAGTACGCTCGGGCTTCTATTCCCTGCCCCAACAGGGCTTGGATGAGCCTCTCGCAGCTCACTGTCGAACAAATTACCGGCGTGATTACAGGAGCCCCCATTCTTCACAGCCATCTTGCCATGACATCAACTGGAAGTCTCTGGCCTTGGGTTTCTCAAACAGCAGTCCCTTTACTATATAGTAAGTCACTTATGAAACTCATCAGCATTTCAAAAACAGTATAGCTTTACATCTATCTGTACAAAATGAGCATTTGCAAAATTCCATATACATGTCCCAAGGAACTTCTGAAGTGACTTTCTGGATTTGAACCACAAACCTTTGATGGTTACTAGCACATACTCATCTAGTTTTGATGTCATTTATTTTAATAACTCCATAACATATTGTGAAGAGATAAAACACATTTCAAAACAGTAAAGAAATCCCATCCATATACCATCACATATCCAATATTACAGTTTTTACATAGAAAGTTACTCTATATGTAGTACCTCCTAAATAATTGTCTATGATTCTTCCAATACAAGTGCTTGTTATTTAGCATGGAAACAATAAGCACTGTTGTTGTGCAGATAAAACAGAGCTATGTAAACTGCCTTGGTTCATCACAAAAGGAAAGAAGGTGGGGTATGCAATGTTGAAATCAGCAACAACAACAAACAACAACTGCCCTTTGCCTCTAGTTCTGCCTCACACTGTTAGTATCTGAGCTTGGCTTGCTCTTGACTTCAACTTTGCACCTGCTATACCTTGTTGGCTGCCTACTATAACCTGTCTTTGGCTTTGCCATGCCTTGCTAGTATCTAACCCTTATTAGTACCTGATTTTACCTTTGCCACCAACCCTATTTCATCTTGCCAAGATCTACATTCACCTCCATTGTCACTGGTCTTGGTGCTCCAGCCATAGATACCTGCTACTTGCATCCCAAAACTGACAGATTCTGCTAGCGTGAAGTCTTCCCACAAGCTCCTTAGAGACCTTGGTCATCAAAGATATAATTCCATTGCTATATTGTTAGTGACACATCTCCTTATTTTCATTTTGGTGTATAACATGCAAAATCTGCTTCATTATTTTTAGAACTAAAGCGTGAATTCAAACACAGTGGCAGACTATTATCCTCTCATTAATATCAATTAGGTGTTCTTAGCTCTTAATGAAGTAAATGTATGTGAGGGGATGTCACACAGAGATGGGTAGAAACCTGTTCTCCCCTGCAGAGGAAGGCAGGACGCGCTCCAATGGAGCAAAGCTCAGGAAACCAAGGTTCCATTTAGATGCCAGGAATCACTTCCTGACAGTTAGGACCCCGAAGGTGTGGAATGGGCTTCCACGGGAGGTCATTGGTGAGGGTGTTCAAAGACAGGCTGGACATGCACATGGTGGGCATGTCATGAGTGGAGCTGGCTGGAGCTGGGGGTCAGACTAGATGGCCTGGGAGGTCCTTTCTGACTTGCTCTGTTTCTATGTTTCTAAATGTTTTGTCCAGTCTTGATTTATCACCAGATCCCCTTAGACAAAGAATCTCACAAGTTTTATTGTCAATTTAAACCGAGTTCAGTGACTTATCTAGGAGGAGATCTTATCTTACAGAGAAGAGTATCACCAAAATCAGAGTACATGCACTTACGGAAGGCCACCCGCTGTACCATTGAGAAGAGGAGAGAGGAGGAAAAAAGAGCGAACAGAGATAGTGTTGGAGAAGTAAGGACAACAGAGGGTGTTTGTGTGTGTGTGTGTGGGCGGGCACTCTGACCATTTATACTGGAGGGGGGGGTGCGGAATTCCTGCCAAAAACCATTAAAGCTCTTAAATCTTCCTGGCAACAGGTACTGCATAGGCAGAGCACCCATAATGAGTGATGCACAGAGAGCATGATGAAGAACTTACAAGTTTTATTGTCAATTTAAACTGAATTCAGTGACTTATCTAGGGGGAGAACTTATCTCACAGAGAAGAGTATCTCCAAAATCAGACTTAGTAAAAGCTATTTGTGAAGCTCCCAAACCGGGCAACTTCAAAATTTTCTAGGTCTTTCTCAGTATATTCAAAGTCTGCAAATTTACTAAGATAGTTCCTCTTTGTCATATTCTAAAGAAGAATGTAAAATATGAATGCAATACAGAAGGGGGTATGCTATTTCCATTAGCCTAGCACTAAGTTCTTTTGACTCTAAGAAGCAATGCTTGTGAGTATAGACTAGATGTGGTTTTGACTCAGCTAAACAATGGGTGAGAAGTCATTTTGCTCTTGCCTCCTGAGCACTAATCAATTCCAAGAAATCTTACCCAGTTATAGAAAATGAGGCTTTGACATGCTTCTGGCTGTAAGAAGTACAGGATCTACTTATGAAGCACAACAATTTATTATAAGATCTGATCATAAACCACTAGTAGTTCTCTTTACCATAAAAGATTCAGGTTAAGCAAGTCCAGTGATTGATCTCCCAGCTCTCCCTATCAGGGTACTCAATACAGCTTCGGAGAAGACTGGAAGGGTGAGGGGTTGCCATAGGAATTCTCTCTCTCTCTCTCCAGGCTCCCTGGCTGTCTGACTCCTAGTCCAGACTACTTGTCTGGTGCTGTGGGACAGCTTGGATCCAAGGATCCACCCAACTTTCTGGCTACCTGAGCTGACAGAGGCTGTCTCATCTGTGATGTTGACATTCCCCAGGCTGCTGGTCCTGCAGGATACCAACATCCATGCTGAGGGCACCCTATCTGGGTCAGCTCAGGATTTCATGGACTCCATGACAACCATGGAACTGTCCCAACATACACGTGTAGCAAGACACACTCTGGATTTATTTTCAGCTGGGCATGGGGATAGTGATTTGAAGATCAGACTTTGAATTAGACCCTTTGTTTTGGTCAGATCATGGCCTATTGAGATTTAGAGTAGTGGTGACTTTCCCCCTCTGTAGGGGTAAGGGACCTATTAAGTTGTGCATTATGTTCAGTGGTCAAATCTGTGGATGTACTAAACTGGTGCCTAGCAGTGACAATGGACTGAATGAGGGCTAACAAACTAAAAGCACTAGACAAGACTGAGATGCTGTTGAAGGGTGGCTCCTCTGATCAGGTGCAGGGGTGCTTAAACTGTTCCGGATGGAGGTAGCACTCCCACTGTATAAGCAGGTTTGTAGTTTAGGTATGTCCCTTGAATCACTTTTGTCACTTGAGACCCCTTGCAGTCTCAATGGTATGGAGTGCCTTCTACCAATTTCAGCTGGAGGCCCATCTATGTCCCTATCTAGAGAGGTGAAGCCTGGTTTCAGTAACCTATACTATGGGAATCTCCAAACTAGATTACTGCAAGCCACTCTACATGGATCTGCCCTGAATGCCTTTTCAAAAGCTGGAATTTGTGCAAAGTGCAACAGCCAAGCTAATTACCAAGAACAGAACAGAAGGTTGGAATACATAATATCAATTCTGACCAGCTTGCATTGAATACCTATATGCTTCTGAGCACAATTAAAGGTGCTGGTTTTAACCTATAAAGTCATAAATCACCTGGAACCACAATACTGACAGAATGCCCCTCTCAATCTGCCCAGACAATGCAATCAAAATATGGGCACTACCTTTGAAAAAGGCCTGGATGATAGAAACAAGAAGAAAGGCCTTCTCAGTGGCAGTCCCACAATCATGGAACAAATTGGACCTGTCTGGTGCTAACTCTAACAAGTCTTTGGCCCCAAGTTAAGACTGCCGTCTATGATAGGGCATTTAATTAGCTTTAATTAAATGGGGGCATTACATCAGCTGCTTAACAGATCTTATGATTTAATTTGTATAAAGTATTATATATTTTTGAAAGCAAAATTTAAATTCTGTATTGTAATTTTAATGGTTTTTGTTATCTGCATTTTATATTGTATTTTATTATGCTGTGTGCTGTTGTAACATACTCAGACAGCTTTGGCTATTAAGTGGTATAGGAATAACCACCACCACCACCACTACCACCACCATCATCATCATCAATGGGTGGTGAAAATTAGGGATTTTGATTTTGAACCTGTGTATTTGCCTGGAACAAAAAACTGTGACTGCCAGCTGCTTGTTCCATTTGCCTATCATTTAGACAATGAAGGAAAATGAAAGAACAAGAGAGAAGTTATTATTACACAAATTATTGAAAGCTCTTAAGGGATAATTTCAGCTTCAGTGAGTTGCAAGCCCACAGTTATAGAATGACCATTTAACAGGAAGCTACTTAAACACCTGTGACCATTTCAACATGTTGTGCAGGACTTACAAGTACAGTCTGAAAGTGTTCTGAGAAATGATTAGCTCATTGTTCCATTAAGCTTGCATGAAAGTTTGATCTATTTGTCTATAGCATCTGGGGATGAGTCTTATTAAAAGGAAACTGGTGGCCAGGGGTGGTTAGGAACAGTGTGTCATCTGTCAACACTGACAAATCATGGAAGAGCTCCTTTAAACACTAGTGCTTATTGCCCATGGGAGAAGTTAGCCCTGGACATAACAGGGCCATCTGAAAATCATTCGTAGTCTACAATTACCATGGCATATCTCTGTCCAATCATTCCAAATGCATGAAGTTAAATTTGCTGTGGAAATAACTGAACATACCATGATTAAATTCACTTTCATATTTGCCAGAAAAGGGCTCCTGAAAGAACTGAAAGCAAACAATGGCATTCTGTTAATGTCCACATATATAAATATCTTGACAGTAACAACATTAAACACAAAACCTATATGCTGGTTGAGACAATGAACAGACCAACACAGGACAGTCTATGGTTTACTAGTCAACAAAAGGCATCTTGGGAAGTTCATTTATGGGACATACTATTTTCCTAAAGAACTGTTCCACGTTCAATAACAGGAGTATTCTCTCTTGAATTTTTAAGAGGATATAAAGCAAATTAAAGATTAAAATATAGCTCCAGCTCACAACCTAGTTTGCAAATCACCCAATATGACATTTTATAAATGTGTCACAGACAGACAAAAAATGTAAAGCATATGTAAATAAAAAAGGAGACAGAGCTCATAAACTTGAAATCAAAAACTTTGTATGAGTGAAATTAACTTAGAGTCAAGAAAGGACACTCAAGTATTCACTTCCTTTAAAGATAGTTAACATTAGTGGAGTTCAGTTATTCTTAATGATGGAAAGAAATGGAACATCTCAAAGTTTGCTAGGGCCCACCAGGCAACAATAAAAAAGAGAGCAGTCTCTTCTGGATTTCAAAGACTAGATGATATCAAGTGAGGAAGTAGGACCTGCCAAGGTTCTAGAGTTATTTCTCTGAGTATGAAAAATATAAGACAAATGAAATAGCCCAGAAGCTTTGAGGATTTGTAACTAAGTTTTTTATCCAGTTATTGTCAATTATACCTTTGTTTTGAAGGAAAGGGATGTGTGGTATTCTACCTGTCAGAGGCACTTCCTTGTTTTGAGTGTGAAAGGTTGGTCCTTAGAGGATCCAGGGAGAGTAGCAGCAGGGGAGAGAGGGAGGGAGGACAGAGGAGGTGGGAAAAGGAAAGAAAAAACGTAGAAAGTAATTAGAAACAGAGTGAAGTACTGGTTACATTCAAAGCCATGTTTCTATGTCCTCCTTACTAAGAAGAAAATACATAATTCCTATAGGGCTATGTTAAGGCAAACTGCAGGATCCTGAAACAGAAGATACAATCCCTAGAGATAAAGTGAAGAAAACAGCCAGATACTGATGTGAAGATAAGCATCCTTTATATTTATGGATTGTGAGAGGAGAAACAATGCTCCCAATGCCTTGCTAACCAGGAGTTATGTTTTAAAGGTCTTAAACCAATCAAATTCCTGCTAGTACAACTCTAAAGGCAACAAAGAAAGGGTAAGTGACCCTCTGCAATGAAAAGGAAAATTAGAGGGATCATGATCCTTGTGCAAAGGCTATAGCTCCTCTTGTGTAAAATTAGTTTCTCCCTATCCTTTGGCAAGCTGGTTGGTTCCACCACTGGAATATGTGGACAGAAATTAACAAATGCCTCCATTACTGGTGTTGACAGAGAAAGATGCATCAAACCCAAGCACCTTTGGCACAAGGTGTTTTAATGACACAAGCTTTTCGGTGAAATTAAGGCACATGGGGGTGATACTGTTTCAACAGCTGTGAGTTGTCTGATGAACTTCATGACCAACAAAGATTCCATTCTTGCCTTTCTTGCTCTTGATATT